CTCTGGTGTATGAAAATATTAAAACTAGGTTAGGTCTCGTGCCTTGCACGACAATTTTAAAAAATTAATATCAACTTTTCAATATAATTGGTTATTTTACAACAATAAAACAAAAAATCTAAAACACTATGGACAATCTTTGATTAAAATATGAAAGATAAGTGAATATATTTAATAAGTATAAATTGAATAATTTGATATTCTTAAATACAAAGTAATAAAATCGTCTATTAAGTAATTGGAATATTGATGTGTAGATATTGTATTCAAATATATAATTATATAGTATCAACATGTTTTGGATGAGGGCAGTAAATAATACTGTAATATTGATCTTCATGAGAATTTTGTGTGTGTTTATATTAATACTATGAAGTATAGTCTAACTAATTTTTATACTCCCTCCGTTAATTTTTATTTGCAACTTTGGAGTGTTTTGCGGCTCACGAGGCAAAACTTAAGGGGCAAATATTAGAGGAAATAAATGAAGGTAATTAAAGTGATAGGAGAGATAAAGTTGGCTCACCCACTTGCAAATAAGGGTAAAATTATAAAAATCAGAATTTTTAAGTAAGGGTAAATATGTAATTTCTAGAGTTTTTGTTGACTAAAAATATAAAGAAAATAGAAAGTTGCACATAATGTTTAGCGAACTAAAATAATAAAAGTTGTAAATAAAAATTAACGGAGGGAGTATATTAAGGTAGTAAATAGTAATGTTTCTATCAATAAAATAAAATAATTTAATACAGTAACTCATTTTCACTTAGAGAAGGAAAAGAGCGGGGTTATTATCATTCAAGAGGCAGTAATAGTATATGCACTACTCTATCATGAATTCTAATCAATAACTAAACAACTTTAGGGGAAAAAAATATAAATACTCTTGTGTAGTAAATCATTATATGTCGCAAATCATATTAATATTTTCTATTATAGTCACAAATGTCTGTGTGAAAAGGTAAATCAAATCTAATATATATAAATAAAGGTGGCATTTTTGGAGAGCATTCAGGGCTCCGCGTAAGAAATATACTTATTTCGACAAATAAGAAAAAAAATTTGTATTTTATTTTTGAATTAAAAAATTATGTCGCCACCTAGATAATAGTAACGAATTAGGTTTGATATATCTAAAATTTTAATGCCACGTAGACTATAATCCACGATATAAATTATTTTAATGAAAAAAATAAAGTAAAAATATAGGAAAAGATAAATTTATTAATTCAATTCTACGAGTATAAGAAATCCAAAAAAATATACTAAGAAATATTTAAATGATAAATGCTTTATAATAAAGTTTGATACCTATCATTATAAGATAAATTTTGATAGTATTTATGATAAGAAATACAAATTGTAAAATTTGTGATACCTACCATTATAAATTGGCACATCATACGAGACAAACAAAATTTTCGTATCAATAAAAAACCCCATCAAACGAATTTTGTGTTAGTAATTTTGTGTTAATTTTTGGTCATCAATGGCGGGTAAATTTTAGCTTAATTTTAAAATCCTATGTTTAAATTAGTTTTTCTATTATTACTTACATTGTATTAATTTGGGATACTCAACGATTATATGTTTATGTTTTATTTACTAAACGTTTTTTACATGCAGATCTAACACATCATATGACACAAATAAAATTTCGTATCAATACAAAACCCAATCAAGCAAATTTTGTGTTAGTCTTAGGTCATCAATGTCCGGGTAATTTTTAAAATCTTATGTTTAAATTTATATCTGTAGTTACAAGTTACATTGTATTTATTCACGATACTTAACGATTATTTGTTTATGTCGCCATCTAGATAAAAGTAACGAATTAGATTTGATATATCTAAAATCTTAGTGCCACGTAGATTATAATCCACGAATTAAATTATTTTAATGAAAAAAATAAAGTAAAAATGTAGGAAAAGATAAATTTATTAATTCAATATTACGAGTATAAGAAATCCAAATAAAATATACTAAAAAATATTTAAATGATAAACGCTTATAATACAATTTTATACCTATCATTATAAGATAAATTTTGATAGTATTTATGATAAGAAATACAAATTGTTCGTTAATTATAATTAAATTAAAATTTGTGATACCTACCATTATAAATTGACACATCATACGACACAACCAAAATTTCGTATCAATAAAAAACCCTATCAAGCGAATTTTGTGTTAGTAATTTTTTGTTAATTTTTGGTCATCAATGGCCGGGTAATTTTAGCTTAATTTTAAAATCCTATGTTTAAATTAGCATTTCTAATTATTACTTACATTGTGTTAATATGGGATACTCAACGATTATATGTTTATGTTTATTTACTAAATGTTTTTTTACATGTAGATCCAACACATCATACGACATAAATAAAATATCGTATCAATACAAAACCCGGCCCCATCAAGCGAATTTTGTGTTAGTTTTAGATCATCAATGCTTGAGTAATTTTTAATATTTTATGTTTAAATTTAGGATAAACGATTATTTGTTTATGTAATAGCATACGATTAGATGTTGTATACTTAATATATGGATGACTTTGGATATTTTTGGAGATGATGAAAAAATTCCAATGCATAGATTTGATTTTATATCGCAACAATTTTTCATTTATTGATAAATATATTGATTTAGTTTATATAAATATACAAATTTAATTTATATCAATTTCAGTTTGGCTAACATAATTTATCCATTGATGTAGTAGGTTGGTTGTGGACGAGGTTGGTGATTCTATTAAAATAAAAGATATAATAAACCATGAATAATAATTTAGGATTTAAATTATTAAAAATTTATCATTTCACATTAAAGAATATATAACGAAAACAAAATATCATATTTTTAATTTATTTGCATTTAATAAATTCATTATAAATTATAGTAAAAAAATAAATATTAAACTTTTGTAATTTTGTCTGAAATTATTTAATACAATAAATCAAGTAATTAAAAATCTTAGATGAAAAAACCGTGCATTGCGCGAGCTTCCATCTAGTCTTTTATATTTAAAGTAATTATCTTTGTTATTATTATTATTATTATTATTATTATTTTGAGGAAGGAAAGTGGTTGGGGTTTAATATTATTATAAAATAAAAAACACAAAACTACAAAGTCAAACGATTTACAAGAAACTAGATGAAAACCCGTGCGATGCACGATTTCTCATACATATATCTCAAGAAAAGATGTTTTCCTATAAACTCTAAGCTTGCTTTTTTTTTTTTTTAATTATTTGATTTATTTAACAATTTAATAATTTCAGACAAAATAATAATAATAATAATAATTTAATTAAAATGATATTGCCAATTACAAAAGTATAATTTTTAATGTAATTTATAATGCGACTTAATTTATTGTTGTTTTGTATTTTATTCGTTGTTGTTAGTTATATGACAATAATATGATATCTTTAAAATAAAAATAAAAATTGTAAATATGATATTTCATTGATTACATATTAGGATAAGATCTTTAATATGAAAAGATAGTAATTTATTATTTTTTAAATAATTTAAATCCCAAATCATTATTTGTTGCCTTTTAAACTTGAAATTAAACTCTCAAATCTATATATCATTATGTATATTTCTTGTGATCTCTTGATATCTAACAAATTATCTGTCTTTTCAATTTTTTAGACATAAAATGTTTGAAGAGGTAAAGTTTTTTAATGCGTTATAAGTTTTAAATTTTTGCTAGAATATAATTCTTCGATCATCAAGCGAGAAACTCGTACCTTGATATTCCAAAGATTTTTGCTAGAATATAATTCTTTGATTAAATTAGATCTGCATGTAAAAACAAAATTCAGTAAACAAAACATAAACATATAATCATTAACTATCCCAAATAAACACAACTTAAGCAATAATCACAAATATACATTTAAACATGGGTTTTAAAAATTAGGCTAGGAATTACCCAACCATTGATGACCTAATATAATTGACACAAAATTAATGACACAAAATTTGCTTGGTTTGGTTTTGTATTGATACGAAATTTTGTTGGTGTCATATGATGCATCAATTTATAATGGTAAATATCACAAATTTTAATTTAATTATAATTAAGGAATAATTTTTATTTCTTATCATAAACACTATCAAAATTTATCTTATAATAGTAGGTATATAAATCCTATATCTAAAGATGGTTATTTTAAAAGATAATTTTTAGTTTTTTAAATAAATTAAATCCTAATAAATCAATATTCGTTGTTTTTACTTACGTGGCAAAATTCTTAAATCTCATTCGTCACTTTTGTTTAGGTGGCAAACGAATTTTTTAATTTCAAAATAAAATAAAAATCTAATTTTTAATTGGTCGAAAATATACCTTTGCTTATGTGACGCGCTGAATGCTCTTGAAAAATGCCTACTTTATTTATATATATTATATTATATTAGATTAGTGGGGAGCCGAGATACAATTTGGGCCCCCACCCCTCTAACTATAGCAAACCCAATCTTGTTGAACATGTGAGCAGCTGCACGAGCACCAATATCCTGCGTCCTAGGAAACGCATGAACCCGCTTTAACAACGTAACATCATCCTTCTCTCATAATAATAATAATAATAGTAATAATTATTATTATTGATATTTAAAACATGTTACTTAAAACCTTTATAAAGCTTACCTATCTCATTATTAGACGTCATGACCCGCCCCATTTATTTATGAGACCCATATTATAACTACGGCGGGCCATGGCTTTTAAAGGCCTCCATTCCTATTTCCTACCTCTCTGAGTTATTTCATTGAAGCGCGACTCAACGTTCTCCATTGAAGCGTTCTCAACTTTCTCCATTGTATCCCCCATTGAAGCAGCTTCTAATGTAAGTTGTTTGTTGTTGTTATCATCACATCAATTTCACAATCTAGGGTTTATATTTGATCTAATCTAATTTAATTATCGGTGCTTTAAGTTTAGGGTTCGTAAATTCTTAGATTATGAAACATCATATTCAAAAGAAAAGAAAATCATGAGCGTAATTTGATTATTGAATCAAATATCCCTAAAATTATGAGATAATTGAATATGAAATTAAAACTCTTTTCCCTGGGCCTAGGGCGGCCGCACCTCCTGCCCTGCCTCAGGGACGGGCCTGACAACTTATTATGTACAATTTCATCTCTCTCAACTCATTTTCCGCGGGAAAGTTTAGTTCAGAGTGATAATATAGATGCCCAAATTGTATCATTATGCAAAAAAGACCAATCTTTTGCAGCAGCAGCTGCATTATTTGACAATGCCTTCAATTCAGGGACAACCCCTTCTGCCCAAACATGTAATTTCCTCGTTAATGAGCTTAGGGATGCAGGGGAGCATAAATTAGCATATTCGGTGTATAAGAAAATGACCCATGTTGGTGTTCAGCCATTGTTCTATTCACTGTCTGCCCTGGTTGAGTATTTGGTGAGATCGCCCGAGCCTGCTTACGCTTTAGGGGCTGTTGGGTTGTTATGGAAGCGTGGTTTTGGGGTCAAAGTATACCTCATGAATATTGTACTGAAGGGTTTGTGTCGAAATGGGGAAATAGATAGAGCAATGCAGGTTTTGCAAGAAATGTACAACAACTCTATAATGCCTGATGTTATTAGCTACAATACAGTAACCAATGCTCTTTGTAAGGCAAAGAGGGTGGTGGATGCGTCGAATTTGATGGATCAAATGAAGAGAGCTGGTTGCTGTCCTGATTTGACGTCGTATACTATTATTTTAGATGGCTTGTGTAAAATGGGTAAGGTGGAAGATGCGATGGGATTGATGGAAGAGATGAAGGAAAACAATTTTGATGTGGATGTTGTTGCTTATAGTGCTCTCATCAAAGGTTTTTGCATGCAAGGAAATGCTGATAAAGTTGAAGAGCTCTTTCATGAAATGTTGGAAAGGGGAGTGACTCCAAATGTAGTCTCTTATTCGTGTGTATTGCATTTTTTTTCCACAGTGGGCCGGTGGGAAAAAGTTACAGCAATGGTAAAAGATATGACGAGAAGGGGGATACATCCTGATGCAACTACATATTCAGGTCTAATTGATGGACTCTGCAGAAATCAGAAGACTACAAAAGCTATTGCCATGTTGAAGTTGATGCTAGAGAAGGGTGAAGAACCACTTGCTGCAACATACAATAATGTGATCAGTGCTCTTTGCAAAGATCGTTTGGTATCCGAGTCTTTTGATGTATTGAAAATGATGATGGATAAGGGGAAGAAGCCCGACTTGTTTACATACACTACATTGCTCAAAAGTCTTCTTGAAATTGGTAAAGTTGATGATGCGATAATGATTTTTAATTCAGTATTTGAAGATGAAGCTTATGTTCAGCCAGATGCTATGGCATTCAATACAATGATCATAGGGCTTTGCAAGGAAGGTTGCCTTAGTAAGGCTGAAGAATTTTACCGTAAGATGGTTGTAGCAGGAATCTGTGGGGATGAGGTCACTTATAGCACACTCATTGGGGTGTATCTGAAGGCAGGAAATGTTTATGAATGTCTGGAGATATGGAAAAACATGCTGAGGGAGAGAATACTTCCAACTTCATACACATATGGCATTTTGATCGATGGTTTCTGCAAGTTGCGTATGATTAACATTGCAAAAGGTCTTTTATTGAAATTGAAAGACTTTGGTCTTAGTCCCCGAAGTGTGGACTATAATACGTTGATGACAGCATTGTGTAAAGAAGGTAGTGTGGATCAGGCAAGGATGTTATTCAAAAATATGAAGGAAACAAACTGTGAACCATGTATTATCTCATTTATGGTGATGATTCAAGGAGCCCTTATATCTGGTGATTTCCATTATGGCAAAACCCTACTCACCGATATGCTTCAAAGGGGTTTGGCTCCTGATGCTATTTTGTTTTCCACGCTAATTGGGAGGTTCTCAGACGCCGGACTGATGGATGAGGCCAAGCAACTTTTTGAAAGGATGGTTGCTAAAGGCTTCACACCTACTACTGATGTTTATCAGAATTTGCTTATGGGGTATTGTTTAACGGGGGATATGAATGAACTTATTAATTTGCTTCATCAAATGGCAGCTGATAATCTTGAGCTAAACTCAGAGATGAGAGCAACAATCTTGACATGTCTCTGTCATTGTACTGATTTGAATATGGTGGATCTTCTTCCGACATTCTCTCAAGAAGCTCTAAAAGAAGATGGCATCCCTTGCAATGATTTTCTTGAAAATCTTCACAAGTTCCATTCTAAAATCCCAAATCTTGCTTCTTAATGCCCTTCCAGGAAAAAAATTTAGCTTGTATGATGGCTAGTAAGTCCATTCTCTTATTCTGTCATGTTTATTTTTGATTTCAATAAACCTCTTTGTATCTATGGTTCTCTCTTTTTGTATACAGTTGTCTGCCTTGGCTGCGGATACAAATAGAACTCACCTTAAATCTGATCTTGTTTCTGTTCTTGCTGAATTTCAACGCCAAGATCAAGTTTTTCTCTCAATGAAAGTACGATTTTTATATACTACTACTGCTATTTTTGGGTGTAGGAATTTGATAATTTGTCGGAATTTATGTTGTGTTTTTTTCTTGTTGAAAATGGTTTGATAATATGTATTGGATTAATGGCTTTGGACTTTTGAATAGAATCTCTGCAACTTGTATGAAATGAGAATCAGCTGCACCTTTAATTAGTTCTGATCAATATTAATCAGTTTTCGTTGCAAATAATCAGTACAGTTTGAATTCATTAATCGAAAATTAGGTTTGATTGGTGTAATAATATACAAAGTACAATTTTGATAAGAAAAATCAATTGAGATTAGTAGGTAAAGAACGAAACTTTAGGCAATTTACATGATTTGGAATAAAGTTTGATGACTATATGTGGGTTTGTAGGATGGATGCCTGTATTTTGAGTTGGTTTGACGTTTCTTCCTGTTTAATGTACTCCGTAGTTAGATGAAGATGGGTTACACATATTGGTAATATTGGTGTAAAACTTCTCTTGGTAGTACATCAAGAATTAAATTATGTATGGTACAGTTTTTGATTGGCTAGATGTGGCCTTGTGGGAGCATCCATCATAGGTTTGGAGACGCTGAAGGTCTGATTCTATGTTGGATAGATACTTTTGGAGAGATTGATAGATTTCTTTGTTGAGATGATTTGTGTATTATCGAAATAAATTTATATCATTAAGTTAAACCATCAATTGTAGTTTATAGATAAGTGAGTTATGTATCTGAAAATAAGTACTCTGTAGGTGGGATTCACTAGGGTATTACTAGGATAGTGCCCAATTACCTACTGACCAGGGGAGCGGGGAGCCTGGCCATTTGCTATAGCCACTCCTGCAAGCTGCTGTCAGATTTCAGGTGTAATGGTTATGACTTGTAAGGGTTCTCATTATGATTTATCCGTAATCAGGTATACCGACAACTAAATACTGGTTTTCAAATTTTCAGCCTGATATATTCTCTATACTTGCTTGATCTATGATTTAAAAATAAACAAAATGACCTGGTGTAAGAGTTTAGCAATTCATGCTTCTTTTATTAGAAATGTGAAATAGGTATGGTAGAACAACTGTTGCTGATTTTAATTTCTGGTTTTACCTGTCACAGTTGTATGATGTGGTGCGGAAAGAGATATGGTACCGTCCAGACATGTTCTTCTACAGGGACATGCTCATGATGCTTGCAAGGAACAAAAAGGTAGATGAAGCAAAGCGGGTTTGGGGAGACTTGAAGAGGGAAGAAGTCCTATTTGATCAGCACACATTCGGTGACATTATGAGGGCCTTTTTGGACAATGAACTGCCAGATGAGGCAATGGAAATATATGCTGAAATGAGGCAATCCCCCGATCCCCCTCTTTCACTTCCTTTTCGAGTCATTCTGAAAGGGCTTATTCCATATCCTGAATTGAGGGAGAAGATCAAAGCTGACTTTCAGGAGCTATTTCCTGGATACTCTGTCTACGACCCTCCTGATGACCTCTTTGAAGACCAAGACTGGAAAACAGAGAGTGATTTGGATTAGTAAGGCAAGTTTACCAACCTTAGTTCTTTTAGAGAGAGAGAGAGAGAGAGAGGAGATTTTTGAGTCTTTGGGACAGTGAGTATTTATCTTCTTAAGAAAAAGAAAAGAAAAAAATGTTTTTTTGATTGGATGAAACCTTGATTGGATGAAACCTCGACTAAAAGTCTGTAACTGGAATTTTTTTTATCTTATGTTTTAAATGAGAAAATTTAAGCTTAAAAAGCACTTTGTATATTCCAAACAATTGAGACTGCTGTAATCCCACCAGTGTGTAAGTTTGATAATACAATTGAAACTCTCATTTCACAGAGATAGAAATTTGGAGTTTTGCTTGCACTGAAGGGAATTACATCAGAACCTTCATTCATGTTTTTTGCTTTATGCATACTTCTCTTTATACAATTATGCAAATGTTCTCATCATCAAAGAAAGGAAGGTTACAATTATGCAAATGTTCTCATCATCAAAGAAAGGAAGGTTCATTTTCATAAGGCTCATGAATATCTTCCTTGTCATATATTTGAAAATCAGATGTCCTTTCGTTAGCTCTCCTTCCTTTCCTATGCCTGTGTTGCCGAATCAAATCACCCTGATTATCCAAATGCTGAATTGCACCAGTGCAACTTCGATGCTTGCCGTGTATGTGCTTGTCTTTATGGACATGATGCAAATACTGATTATAATCGCTTGATCGATGTGCTGCATGGTGATGATCTTGTTCATTGTTATTCTTCCGCTGCCTATGCTTTACTTGATGCACGTCGTGATGATGATGTGCTCGGTGATGGTGAGGTCGGTGTCTCTTGTGATGAATTCGGTGATGGTCATGCTGAATTCTATGCCTCGGAATTTTCTTGTGCCTCGGCGTACCTTCCCAGCAATGATCTTCCCACCAGTCGTAGAGAGGATCAAACAATCCTTTTTGATGTAAAAGCCATAGAAGCACAAGCGCTAAATGCCAACAGAAAAAGTTGCAATCTAGGTTAATTGTTATTGCATTCAAATGCTGAATAAATGATGCAGAAAAAAAATAATTTGGTTACCTGTGGGAAAGATGGACAAAAATAATCCAAACATGATGACCCAACTCATGCACACATATTGAATGTGACAGTGGAAGTCGAAGAACCCAGAACACTTGCTTCTATTCAGAACAACAACGTAATGGTTATATTCATTAGAACTAGACATGAGAAAGCAGAATCCAACACTTTTGCCTACTGCTACTTTATTTAGTTCATAAAATGAAGCCATCACATTTATATGTTCTGAGATAAAGTGTAGCAGGTGAAGTCTACAGACATGGGTTACAGTAGTTGAAGTTGGCAGAACTGTCAACATTTTTCGACCCTCATAGTTCGAAGGTGTGCACAGCTCAAGGATGCTGATACAATTTAGTCTGAAGTTTAAACTCACAGGAGTCTCTTATATGGACTTTTAGGCTTGCTTTGTGTACTTTCTGATGATATTATTCTTGTTTGATGTTAATCAGTCTATGCCGAACTTAAGAATCTGAAGTGTTAACTCACAGAGAACCTCCAATATTATTTTTAGGCATTTTCTTGGCTTTCTAACAAAAACTACTAGTATCAACATTTTCATGTAGTGAAGTGTATTCAGTTTGGTACTCTTTTTTAACATAAAAAACGAAACAACAAACAACTACTACAAAATTATGCAAAATCAGCAAAAATTTAATGGACTCCACACAAATACCTGCAATTCTTTCCTGTGATGAAGTCTAATAAACCAGCCCAAAACTTGTTCCATAGGTCTTTGATAATTCCAAATAAGCTTTGCTGTCTCAGACTTTGGTGGCTGAAAGGGGGCTCCCTGTAGTATATTATGTTGCATCAGTTATAATCCGGACACAAACGGTCTATAATGTGTAAACGTGAGTGTGAGTACATAAAATTGGTATTCTGAAGTCATCCTCTTAAAGTGCAGTGTGGAAACATTTACCTGTGTTCCATTGTCAAGCACAGTGGCTGTGGTGGTGAACTGGCATTCAGCTCTATCGACTTCATTAAATTCTGAATCTTTTAAAATTGCTGCATTCAGGGAAACATTTATCTGAAATCATATGTACTACAAATCTAAATTAAAGCACATCAAAAACTTGAAAGCAAAGCCAATCAAAATCAGCAAAAAAAAATCTGTACCAGAACATGCATATTTTGAAGCTTGATCAGAAGTTAGATAGATTTTGAATGATCGATTACCAACCTCTTCAGGCTTCATGATAAAAAATTGTTCCTGCAATCACATGTTTGTGAACATCAAATTCTGGAACTCAGAGTAGTCATGAAAATGTAAGATCAATAATCACAATGAAGATTTCGAATCAAGTACCTCCATCATTGTCACACCTTTTGAGCATTTAAACTGTATAAAATGTACAAAATATAATTTACCAACTGTCTAAAGAAGTATGAGAATCCAAAGAGGAAAATTTGGGAGCACAGATTATAGTATCATTGGCATACCGTCAAGCTGTATGATGCTTCCACTTTCCCGGTGTTCTTTGTTTTTATATCTGCAGTCCCATATTGCGCAAGTGCTTCAAATGTAGGGACAGTAACACCTAAAATCTTCCCAGGGATCCTACAATTACATAAGAAATAAACTTTAGAACATTGCAGTAGAAAATTATCATATCAGAATATAGCAGCATAAGACATCAGAACAAACTTTCAAATGTAGCTAGCATATTTAGTAAAAACATATACTAACCTCTGATAAACATATTCTATGTCATCAGCTGCTAATTCTATCACAAGATTAGTGTTGATAGCTTCAGAAATCCCAAAGGAAAACGTACGAGGCCCTGCACCCTGTATGCCTTTTCAGTTAATGACAGACTGACAATATTTTTATAGGTGAATAATGTAATGCAAAATCTGTAAACTTAACTGGGTGCTCATTTATCCTTTCAAACCTTCCTACCACACCATACAAAGGTGGTTGATGCCTAGCAATTCGATTCTGGTCAGCCTGTGAAACAATTAGTCAGAACGCTTTCAGTCCCACCAGACAATTTTGAGTTAAAACATGCCAAAAAATAGATAGAGGAGCACAAAATGGAAAAAAAAAAAAAAAAAACAGCTTCATGCAAACATATTGCCTATATTAACTCAATCAAATCGGAAAAACTCGGGAATAAAGGACATAAGATGAAAAACAGTATTAAAGTTAATTCTATTTTTCACCTATAGATACTAACTTCATAAAAATTCCACAGCTGGTTGTGCAAACAGCTCCAGTACGGGGAGGTGCAGAAATCTGGTTGACCGTTAAAAGCCTCATAACCGACTCCAATTTTATTGCATTCAAGGCCATCCAATGTGAATCTGACTCAAGTAGCATATACATAGAAAAATTACGTCCTAGGTCTGGAGGCTGGCAATTTTGGAGATTCATGGCTGTGATTGTGGGTTTCGTGGCTGCGATTATGGGGCTTCGATGGCTGTGTGGGGGAATGGCAGGGGTTTCGGGGAGGGGGGAAAACGGCGACATAAGGGGTGGGGGAGGGGCGGCGTTCCGGCGAGGGGAGGGGCGGCGGACTAGGCAGTGGAGGTGGAGGTTAGGGTGGGACGGTGGGGGAGGGGAGGTCAGCTGGATTTTTCCTAATTTTGTGGTTTTTTTTTTCTGTTTTTTTTTTATAAAAAATTTAGACCAATCAGGACTTGACACGTGTCAAGTGACTTAATATAGTAGGTCATTGACTTTTGTTGACCGGTTAGGGATTGAAGAAAAAGAACCCCCAAAGTTCGGATTATTCCAAAATAATCTAAAGTTGGGATTATTGTAGCAAAATTGATGAAAGTTGGGATTATTATTTCTAATTTTCACATATAATATTGACGATCTTGACATTTTTTGTGAACATGATTAAAATTTTAACAAAAGGGTCCAAGCACATTTCTCATTATTCCAGTTCTATAGAAAGCCCAAGAAGGTAGAATTTCTTATGGATTCTTTGCACCTATGCAATTTCTTTTATGATTGGGTTACTAGCAGGGGCAAGAAGTGACAAACCAAACAACAATTGGAGGACTGAAAGAGAATCTTCAGCTTCCTAGTAGTGCCTGCCTAGTATTACTCATTAAGATCTTGTTGTGTCGCACTGAAGAGCAACATCCTTGGTTTAACAGAACATCAGGAATTAGTTGATTTCTGTATAAAACTAATTTTGAAAAAAAAAATTGTCATTCAAATTTTTCTGGACTACCTAAAATACACCACAGCTACATGTGTTGACTTCATTATGAATCATCCAGACAAAATTTCTAAGTCAGGTGGGGATATCACCAAACTATATAAGAAACAAAAGATGAGAAGTTTTGAAAGAAATTTCGAGAAAGTTGCCTACACCATTATAACAATTAGGCTACACTTGAGTAAAATAAGAATTCCAACTTGGCAAAGTTAATCATGGTTGTTAATTGTGAAGGGTTGTTAATTTATACCTTAAGGGCTGCTCCGGAACCAAAGAGAGCTTCTTCCTAAAAAACTTCAGCAGGGCAAAGCTCATTAACTCATATCTTTATCACAGCTTTGGAACCAGACCCCCTTCTCTGTCTACTTCGCCAAATCCAAGGAGATCTCTTGTCTGGAACCAGCTTCTTCTCCCCTCGGCTCAAACACTTTTCCTGAGTTTTACTTTAGTAGTAGTAAAAGGAAAGAAAAAAAGAAAAACAAAAAAAAAAAAACAAAAAAAAAAAAACAAGCAAACAAACGAACAAAACAAAAAAAACAACACTTAAGTTAACACTTCACACCGTGACCCCATCTCTTTCTGTTCTTTTTTTTTTATTTTTTTATTCCTGATTTCCCCTTTTTCATCTCCCCTTGTCTATTTCCCCCCTTCCAAAACCACCAAATTATCCCCGAGACATGCTAATTTTGCACCTCACAGCTAAAAGTTTGGAGTTATAACTAAATAGCTAGCATGTTAGCCACCTAAAAACCATCAAACACAAATACATTATGAGAGCATGTATAGTTTAAATCAGAGGGCACATGAGAGAGAAAAAACAACTTTTAGATTATAAAAAAAAAATAGTCTGACAGCTAGTGCGATGCACAGGCTTGATAAGCTTACATCTCAAAATTGGGCAAAGTTACACTAGAATTGCCATAACAAACAAAAGATCAGTTTGGCTGCTGACGACTTCTTCCATTACCAAAGTGACCACCTCTGCGGTGAAATGGCTTCCTTCCTCGACCTCTTCCACCTCTGCCTGAAGATTGGCCCTGACTGAACTGAGGAGAAGCCCCATCATTACCGTGGAAAGTAGTTGGGGGCCGGGAATTACAGCTCTGCCCTTGCTGTGCAGGCAACTGAGAGCCTGGGCCTTGAAGAGCTACGTTTAGTGGAGCTTGATTGGAGAGATTTTGGCCGATCATCCCAACCCAAGGTGTGTTTATCTGCCCTGCAGCAAAGTTCATAGGTCCAAGTGATGTAGCACTACTTCCAGACACCAATTGACTGAGATCAAACGGCTGCTGACACAAGGCTGGATTTGTCATAGGCATCTGTGAAATATGCTGTTGTTGCTGCCATGGCATAGGTGATCCAGAAGCCACTTGAAGATTCTGGGGATGATTTTGTTGCATCCATGGCATACCCTGTAATTGAAAGCCACCAGGAAAAGCCATATTCTGCTGTTGGAATGGTATCCCATTCGCAAGTAAACCATTTAATAGAAATCCAGCTTGTTGGAGTTGCTGAGGAGATGGAGTGGGCCCCCTAGGGAAAAATGGCCCCATTGGAGATGGACCTAACTGGTAACCCTGACTTAAGGACGGTACATAAGGTCTGCCAGAGAACACTGGCCCAGTTGGAGATGGGCCAAACTGATTCTCCTCGCTTGAGGATGGTACATAGGGGCCCATATGTTGTTGCATTCGCCTAGGTTGTGATGGTTGGACTGTTGGTTGTGATGATTGAACTGTTGGAGATTGAGAGGCAGATGGTTGATCTTTTGTCCATGTTTTGCCTCTGCTTCTGTTCTTTTTCTTGTTCCCAGGTCCCTGCCCTTGGGTACTACTGTTCCCTCTCTTTGACATCTTTAACAGTCTCTTGTATTCCGCCTCCTTCTCATCATCAGAGAAATCAAACTCCTCCAACACCTCTTCATCGTTCTCACCAGAAGCATCATATCCTTTCTGGTAAAGATTTTTGTCATTAAGAACATGCCCTACAAACTCCATGACAAAGCCAACTAAAGTGCCATTTTGGATACCAGGGGGAACTTCACTTTCCGAATTATATCTCACAATATAGTATGGGGTTTTGACAGGCCCAAATATTTCATCCACAATTCCTAGTGGCAATCTTCCCTCAGCTATCCATAATATTGAGCCCTCATTGAGAGGATCATGCTTCTCTGACCCTTCAACAATAACTTGAGCATCTAAAACCTGACCAATGATAAACAGAATCACAAATCTATCAGGTTAAAGTTGCCTCCATCACATCCAATATAAATCCATCAATGAAAAGAGAAAAAAAAAAAAAAAAAAAAAAAAAAAAAAAGAAAAGAATTGACAAACCAAAGTCAACATACTTAAAGAGTAAAATAGAAACTTACAGAGGAGACAACTCCCACAGGCAATATCTCATGGCATGGCTGTAGAGTAACATTTACTGGAGGCACTGGAGGAAGAGCCTGCTAAGGATCAACCCACTTGAGTTAGGAAAATGTAGAGGACATGAAAACAGCATTTTCAGCAAGCCAAAGTGAGAGAATTAGGTAAATGCAAATCAAGTGAACACTTTCCGTGATTAGATACTGTGCATTAACATTTGACATCTATAATCCACACTATTGAATACGAGTCCGAAAGTGAGTAGGACAAGAAATCAAGATCTAGACAACAGCATATAATTGTTTGAGAGGATACCAGAGAAACAATCCCCCGAGCTGTGAAAAGCTCACAAGGAAATACTGATTTACAGAAGCAAACAACCTACTTAATCATAGTAGTTTACAAAATTAAATTATTTTTTAGAATTTACCAACTAAAGAAGCACAACACAACCAACCAAATTTCACAAACCAATTACCTCATTACCTACATATTAGAGCTAGTGGTCATGAATTAGTAATGGAGCACAACAACAACTCTACGCAGATTTTGTCACTGACAGGTCTGGGTAGGTCATGAAAAATGAGAGTATACAAAGTTTTGCTGTACCTCAAACTCAGCAGACAAGAAAACCACTACAGCCAGCAATTGTTGACAAATGAGAAAAGCCTAATTCTGAACAATTATATTCAGTTTTTCAAGGTTTTACAAGACCCAAATTCGGCAGGGAAATATCAGAAAGCTCACTCACTTATTCACATGGATGTTAACTAAAAGATAGCATACAGTGTGTGAAATTGAAAAAGTGACAAGCAGCTGTCCTAAATGACTAAATTCACCTTAGGGCCAACATAATTGTGTAAAGGTAACCTGAGGGATATCAAAGGTCTGATCAGTTATAGCACTAATAAAACAAAGCACAATAAGCAAAACATAAAAATGATTAGTTTTTCAACAACAACTACATAGATGCTTGTGGGTGACGTCGATCAACATGTACCCTGTTTGAAACATAGAATAACTCCAACTCCTACCCACCATATTCATAATAGAAGTTGCAGAAGAAAGCAATTGAAAGACATAGAAGTAAAGGCCATTCTTCTACCAGATGACTGATGATTTTACACATAAAATGGATCTAAGAGCATCCTATAAATGTCACAGTATATCTGAGTTTTGCAATAAGCAAACAGCCTCGATGGACATAAACCATCAATTCATCACATACATAGAAAGCGAGCCCAGTAAATGCAAAAACAAAGGGGGAAAAAAAAAGAGCATAAGTATTTTCTGATCACCTTCAGTTCATTCACTGACTTGATGGGTCCCTTAACTGTATCTTCATCTTCATCCGCAATCATATCTTCATCAAATATAAATTCCTCACTATGTTCGTCGGAATTGTCATCGTCATCCTCCTCCTCCTTCTCATTGTTCTCAGACCAGAAAACCATATTCTCAGCATCAGAATCCAATATTTGACCTTCTTCTATGTCAATTGTCTTCTCTTTCTTGATTTCACTTAACTTCTCTTTTTCTTTCAACCTCTCCTCCTCCTCCTCCTCTTCGTCACTTTCACTACTTGAGGATGATGCACAAGATGAGGATGAAGTCTCCCACTCAGACTCTGAGTTTGAATCTTTGTTTTCATTGACAATGGGAGTATCCACTTTCTTCATGCCACTGCCAGCAACAATTAAACCTTCCTCATTGCCAACCAAAGTAACCTTCTCCAATCCTTCCTCAATCGAGCAATCCACACCCTCAATTTGATGGCTACTTCTATCACCCAATACACCAACAACAAACTCATCTCCACCTCCAACTAGAATCTTCGTGTCACCATCATGACCATCAGCATTAATTTCAGCAAGTTCAGAGATACCCAAATCATCTTTCTTCATTAAACTATCCATAACACAATCTTTAAATCCATCTAATTTCACCAAACTATTATCGCCACCTATTTCATCCTTACTACCCATATTCTCATCAGAGCCACAACATTCAACCTTCACGGACACATGCTTCTCCAAGCCATCCATACTTTGTACAGAATCAATCACACTATTACCAATTCCATTCTCCAAATGACCTTCTAAACAAATCCCACTTCCAACTTCAGTTGTATTAGACTCTGCATTATCAGGGCCTTGCATTTCTTCAATCCAATCCTTAATCGAATCAAAATCAAGAAAAGGCTCAACAGAAGCGAGAGGAAACCCGCCAAATTCAGATGAATAACCCTCAAAATCAAACCTGAATGTTTCTGTGGAATTCAAAGTTTTAAACTTTTGTTGATTAGCACCACTCTCTTCCTCCTGTTTCGAAAACTCTCGAATAAACCCTACCATCTCCAAGAACACATACCGAGTTAGTCTATAACAACAATGACGACGTTGACAACCACAACAACAGTAATAGGTTTAAAGTTGTAATTTAACCATCAAAAATAAACCCCACAAACTTAGAGCATGTTAGGTTAGAGTATATTTTAGGGTGGGAATAATAGGTTTAAAGTTGTAATTTAACCATCAAAAATAAACCCCACAAACTTAGAGCATGTTAGGTTAGAGTATATTTTAGGGTGGGAATAGATTCAATTAAACCATTACCATTACTAAGTGTTAGGTTAGAAGGTTTAGATAACAATTATCATTACTTGGGGGTAATGTTTTCCACTATTTGTTATCTATCTAAAACCTAAGGTAACAATTACCCTTACCTTCCTCAAACAAAAAGAAAATGAGTTATGCAGTGATTCCTTTCCATGGTTAAACCAAATAAATGGAAACGTAAGTGTCAAATAATTCCTTTCCTCCCTCTTATTTGTTTCCTTTCCACTCCATTTCCAAAATCTATACCAAACGCCCCCTTAAACTTAAACCCTTAAAAACAAGCAACCTAACAGTTAAACCCTAGCAACCAAGAGGGGCAGCCGCCAAAAAAAATTCCACTTGCATAGTTTCGTCTTAACATTAAAATTAAAGGGTCATATGTTATATGAACAAGAACATGCAACACATTAGCAACCAAATTTGACTCAATAATCAAAGTAGGCTCGAAAAATGAAGTTAAATTCTTCTCGCTCAACTAACTTCTCAAGAATATGAGTACCAAAATTCTAGCAATAAATCACTCGTTATATTGCTTCAGTAATTATAACCAAAAATAATCCACCATAGAAGAACCTTTAATTTATTGTACTGACAATAAAGTTAAAGATTAATTTAACAGTATATTGTGACATGATATTCAATGATTGATAAAAACATCTTACCACAGAAACAGCTGTAATGGAGAGAAGTAAGCTCAGAACCGGTTTCAATGGAGAATTCGTAATACGGACGAAGCAGTGAATCACGAAGCAGCGACGGCGGCGACTCGACGGACGGAGGGACGGAGTGCCGGGAGTGGAGCCGACGAGCGAGAGCGGCGGACTCAGTTCAAAATTCAAAGCTTCAATAATCATTAATCAATTCAATACCCACAAATGACAAATTCACAATAAAAGTATAAACTATAAAACAACTAAACAAGTAATGAAATTCAGATTTACATAATACATACCTCCATTGATTAATTGATTTGGGTGAATTGGCCAATTGAATTTGCGAAGTGCGAACAGCGAACTGGAGATTTGCGAAGTGCGAACTTATCAACTTGAAATTTGAGATTTGCGAAGCAGCCAGTGGAAGCAGCGTCTGGCCGAGCTTTCGCCTGAAACCCCACGCACGGCGAACGGCGACGGCGAATCAATGTCGACCTTGAGACCTTCCGCCTTCGAAGAGAGAGAAACTGAAAATTGAAAAATTAGGGTTTGGTTTTTGTTTTCTTCTTTCTGTCCTACGCTCTTAGCAGAATAGCAGCGCAGCGCGTTTTTTTTTTTTTTTTTTTTTTTTTTTTTTTTTTTGACACTTGTCCCTTCTAGCTCCGCCACTGATCGTCACATATTTCATCCTTAGTACCCATATTCTCATTAGAGCCACAACATTCAACCTTCACGGACACATGCTTCTCCAAGCCATCCATACTTTGTACAGAATCAATCACACTATTACCAATTCCATTCTCCAAATGACCTTCTAATCAAATCTCACTTCCAACTTCATCTGTATTAGACTCTACATTATCAGGGTCTTGCATTTCTTCAATCCAATCCATAATCGAATCAATATCAAGAAAAGGCTCAACAGAAGCGAGAGGAAACCCGCCAAATTCAGATAAATAACCCTCAAAATCAAACCTGAATGGTTCTGTGGAATTCAAAGTTTTAAGCTTTTGTTGATTAGCACCACTCTCTTCCTCCTGTTTCGAAGACTCTCGAATAAACCCTACCATCTCCAAGAACACATACCGAGTTAGTCTATAACAACAATGACGACGTTGACAACCACAACAACAATAATAGGTTTAAAGTTGTAATTTAACCATCAAAAATAAACCCCACAAACTTAGAGCATGTTAGGTTAGAGTATATTTTAGGGTTGGAATAGATTCAATTAAACCATTACCATTACTAAGTGTTAGGTTAGAAGGTTTAGGTAACAATTATCATTACTTGGGGGTAATGTTTTCCACTATTTGTTATCTCTCTAAAAACCTAAAGTAACAATTACCCTTACCTTCTTTAAACAAAAAGAAAATGAGTTATGCAGTGATTCATTTCCATGGTTAAACCAAACAAATGAAAAGGTAAGTGTGAAATAATTCTTTTCCTCCCTCTTATTTGTTTCCTTTCCACTCCATTTCCAAAATCTATACCAAACGCGCCCCTTAAACTTAAACCCTTAAAAGCAAGCAACCCAACAGTTAAACCCTAGCAACCAAGAGGGGCAGCCGCCAAAAAAAAATTCATTTTCATAGTTTCGTCTTAACATTAAAATTATAGGGTCATATGTTATATGAACAAGAACATGCAACACATTAGCAACCAAATTTGACTCAATAATCAAAGTAGGCTCAAAAAATGACGTTAAATTCTTCTCGCTCAACTAACTTCTCAAGAATATGAGTACCAAAATTCTAACAATAAATCACTCGTTATACTACTTCAGTAATTATAACCAAAAATAATCTACCATAGAAGAACCTTTAATTAATTGTACTGACAATAAAGTTAAAGATTAATTTAACAGTATATTGTGACATGATATTCAATGATTGAAAAAAACATCTTACCACAGAAGCAGCTGTAATGGAGAAAAGTAAGCTCAGAACCGGTTTCAATGGAGAACTCGTAATACACTTCAATGGAGGAGAGAGACAGAGGAAAGGGGTGTAGACGTGCAGTGAAGCGGCCAAGTACACGTTAAAACTTAAAAGGCTAAAATAAAAAAGAACAAACACAAAACGTTCTCTTTGTTAGAAATACAGTAGTAGGTTTTGTTATTTGTCGCTCGTGTTTCTCCACATAACGCTTCACTCGACCACAAGTACCTTTCTGTTCGGATTCGACTCCACTAGAATTAGCAGCAAATGAGGCAGCGGTTCTTGAAACTGAGCGCAACACTCATGCAGATGAACACAATCACAAGTTTTGAGAGATAAACGAGATAAGTATGAGTCAGTATCCAAACATTGCTGAGGCATCGATTGAGAGTTCGGAGACATAAATTGCTGCTCCACATCAATTGACAAACAATGTTGTTGTACATAATATTATACACGGCGCTCTTGTTGTTGAAGCTATATAATGTTTACGGAAAATGATTAATGATTGGTATGAACCAGAATTTAAATCTTGATATTACATGTATACCGAATTAATTGATTAGGCTTACGGGACTAGGCTCACGCATCGCGAGCTTAGACAGGGAAATAACCATCTTATTGGGTAGTATAGCAGAAACTATTCCATAGGAGTTGTCAAATTAAATTTACCATTGATCTCTTTGTCTAGATCATTTTTCTTTGAGCTTTTTCATCCATCCTTATTGATTATGTATATTAGTTGTAAAAGACATGATTCTGTTTACGGAAAGAGTTACACATCTGATGACAAATATTGCAGAAAATGATTACACAAATTCACCAACAGCTGATTTTTGCTGCGATTAGAATTGTTGAACTGAAAGATAATTAGTTATGAGACTTAATTACACAACTGCCAATCTGCCATCCCTTCGGAGTCTGGAGAGCAAAGGGAGATAATTAACCAGCAGATGTTCATGTTATCATGTATGCAGATACCCGTCTTAATTAATCAGTTCCTGAGAATATTCATATCCAATCTTATGCTAAGCTTCAATTTGGTAAAACTTTACTTTAGCTTTAGTTTATTGGTGAAGTCCACTGATGTGCTAAATTTGGAAACTCCATTACACTACTTTTTCCAGGACAAGCATCTAAGATATGTCAGCCTAATAAGCTTCCTTAACAACAGGTTCATGAATCAATCAGGTCTTAACAAAAAGCTACAATATCCTAGCAAAATCAACAAGCCTGCTTACATTGTCAAGACTTAGAAAGCTGCAAATGTAAGGACTGTCTGAATAATGCATCAATTAGAGCTCCATTTTCACCACATCCTCCACCCCACGACAATAAATCCCTTATTAATGTGTGGTATATTCTTGCATCGCCAAATTTCAAAAAATAGGTGGGTGAGTGAGTGTGAGACCCAACTCAATAGAAAAAACAGAAAGGAAAATTTCTTTAAAATAAACGCAAGTAACTAACTGGGGCTCCCTCCCTTAAATAGGGAAAATTAAAGTCTTTATTATTTAAAGTGTGATAAGTAAATTAGAGCAAAGGATAAAATATCACAAATGACTACGGAGTAGAATTTTATATCAGGAAAAATGAAATCGATCCAAATCGAAGTATATATAAATGGTGTACAAACAACTTCAAATTTCAGGTGTCATCCCTAATCCTTGAGTAGAAATAATCAAGTTCAATTTTTTTGTTTAAAAGTTAAAGAGAAAGCCTGAACTAAATAGTAAATACACAGAATCTCGCATAAGTCAATCAGACTCGGGTTATAATTAAGTCCGAAATGGCAAGTTAAATAGCAATTTGTCCGAAACAATTTGCCGCCATTAATGAGTCTGCAACTAGAACTAAACGACTACTAAAATTCTGGGAATTCAACAAAAATCGAAGGTTAATTCATAATCCATGTTTGTTCATAGTCGTTCTGCAAAATCATTCCTCCGAGCAATTTCAATTTCAATTTCAACTTCAACATCAAACCCAGAAACAATTTCTCATCTATTCCCTAAAACCCTAAACCCTAATTTCAACAACAAATTCGCCGTCGAATTTCAATGGTTGATTAGGAAAATCAGCACTAGTTCATCGGCTGGAGGAGTGTGGCGGAACCCTAATAGTATATCAATATGGAGGAGAAAGAAAGAAATTGGGAAAGAGGGTTTAATTGTTGCCAAAGAATTGAAGCGTCTTCAGTCAAACCCTAATCGTCTTCAACGTTGTATTCAATCTCATGTTTCTCGACTCCTTAAATCTGATCTTGTTTCTGTTCTTGCTGAATTTCAACGCCAAGATCAAGTTTTTCTCTCAATGAAAGTATGATTTTTTTTATACTACTACTGCTATTTTTGGGTGTAGGAATTTGATAATTTGTTGGAATTTATGTTGTGTTTTTTCTTGTTGAAAATGGTTTGTAATATGTATTGGCTTAATGGCTTTGGACTTTTGAATAGAATCTCTGCAACTTGTATGAAATGAGAATCAGCTGCACCTTTAATTAGTTCTGATCAATATTAATCAGTTTTCGTTGCAAATAATCAGTACAGTTCGAAATCGAAAATTAGGTTTGATTGGTGTAATAATATACAAAGTACAATTTTTATAAGAAAAATCAATTGAACTTAGTAGATAAAGAACGAAACTTTAGGCAATTTACATGATTTGGAAAAAAGTTTGATGACTATATGTGGGTTTGTAGGATGGATGCCTGTATTTTGAGTTGGTTTGACATTTCTTCCTGTTTAATGTAGTTAGATGAAGATGGGTTACACATTTTGGTAATATTGGTGTGAAACTTCTCTTGGTAGTACATCAAGAATTAAATTATGTATGGTACAGTTTTTGATTGGCTAGATGTGGCCTTGTGGGAGCATCCATCATAGGTTTGGAGATGCTGAAGGTCTGATTCTATGTTGGATAGATACTTTTGGAGAGATTGATAGATTTCTTTGTTGAGATGATTTGTGTAATATCGAAATAAATTTATATCATTAAGTTAAACCATCAATTAAGTTAATCCATCAATTGTAGTTTATAGATAAATGAGTTATTTATCTGAAGATAAGTACTCTGTAGGTGGGATTCACTAGGGTATTACTAGGATAGTGCCCAATTACCTACTGACCAGGGGAGCGGGGAGCCTGGCCATTTGCTATAGCCACTCCTGCAAGCTGCTGTCAGATTTCAGGTGTAATGGTTATGACTTGTAAGGGTTCTCATTATGATTTATCCGTAATCAGGTATACCGACAACTAAATACTGGTTTTCAAATTTTCAGCCTGATATATTCTCTATACTTGCTTGATCTATGATTTAAAAATAAACAAAATGACCTGGTGTAAGAGTTTAGCAATTCATGCTTCTTTTATTAGAAATGTGAAATAGGTATGGTAGAACAACTGTTGCTGATTTTAATTTCTGGTTTTACCTGTCACAGTTGTATGATGTGGTGCGGAAAGAGATATGGTACCGTCCAGACATGTTCTTCTACAGGGACATGCTCATGATGCTTGCAAGGAACAAAAAGGTAGATGAAGCAAAGCGGGTTTGGGAAGACTTGAAGAGGGAAGAAGTCCTATTTGATCAGCACACATTCGGTGACATTATGAGGGCCTTTTTGGACAATGAACTGCCAGATGAGGCAATAGAAATATATGCTGAAATGAGGCAATCCCCCGATCCCCCTCTTTCACTTCCTTTTCGAGTCATTCTGAAAGGGCTTATTCCATATCCTGAATTGAGGGAGAAGATCAAAGCTGACTTTCTGGAGCTATTTCCTGGTTACTCTGTCTACGACCCTCCTGAAGACCTCTTTGAAGACCAAGACTGGAAAACAGAGTGTGATTTGGATTAGTAAGGCAAGTTTACCAACCTTAGTTCTTTAAGAGAGAGAGAGAGGAGATTTTTGGAAAACAGAGAGTGATTTGGAACAGTGAGTATTTATCTTCTTAAGAAAAAAAAAGGAAAAAAAAGTTTTTTTGATTGGATGAAACCTCGACTAAAAGTCTGTAACTGGAAATTTTTTTATCTATGTTTTAAATGAGAAAATTTAAGCTTAAAAAGCACTTTGTATATTCCAAACAATTGAGACTGCTGTAATCTCACCAGTGTGTAAGTTTGATAATACAATTGAGACTCTCATTTCACAGAGATAGAAATTTGGAGTTTTGCTTGCACTGAAGGGAATTTCATCAGAACCTTCATTCATGTTTTTTGCTTTATGTATACTTCTCTTTATACAATTATGCAAATGTTCTCATCATCAAAGAAAGGAAGGTTACAAATTATGCAAATGTTCTCATCATCAAAGAAAGGAAGGTTCATTTTCATAAGGCTCATGAATATCTTCCTTGTCATATATTTGAAAATCAGATGTCCTTTCGTTGGCTCTCCTTCCTTTCCTATGCCTGTGATGCCGAATCAAATCACCCTGATTATCCAAATGCTGAATTGCACCAGTGCTACTTCGATGCTTGCCGTGTATGTGCTTGTCTTTATGGACATGATGCAAATACTGATTATAATCGCTTGATCGATGTGCTGCATGGTGATGATCTTGTTCATTGTTATTCTTCCGCTGCCTATGCTTTACTTGATGCACGTTGTGATGATGATGTGCTCGGTGATGGTGAGGTCGGTGTCTCTTGTGATGAACTCGGTGATGGTCAAGCTGAATTCTATGCCTCGGAATTTTCTTGTGCCTCGGCGTACCTTCCCAGCAATGATCTTCCCACCAGTCGTAGAGAGGATCAAACAATCCTTTTTGATGTAAAAGCCATAGAAGCACAAGCGCTAAATGCCAACAGAAAAAGTTGCAATCTAGGTTAATTGTTATTGCATTCAAATGCTGAATAAATGATGCAGAAAAAAAATAATTTGGTTACCTGTGGGAAAGATGGACAAAAATAATCCAACATGATGACCCAACTCATGCACACATATTGAATGTGACAGTGGAAGTCGAAGAACCCAGAACACTTGCTTCTATTCAGAACAACAACGTAATGGTTATATTCATTAGAACAAGACATGAGAAAGCAGAATCCAACACTTTTGCCTACTGCTACTTTATTTAGTTCATAAAATGAAGCCATCACATTTATATGTTCTGAGATAAAGTTTAGCAGGTGAAGTCTACAGACATGGGTTACAGTAGTTGAAGTTGGCAGAACTGTCAACATTTTTCGACCCTCATAGTTCGAAGGTGTGCACAGCTCAAGGATGCTGATACAATTTAGTCTGAAGTTTAAACTCACAGAAGTCTCTTATATGGACTTTTAGGCTTGCTTTGTGTACTTTCTGATGATATTATTTTTGTTTGATGTTGATCAGTCTATGCCGAAACCTTAGAATCTGAAGTTTTAACTCACAGAGAACCTCCAATATTATTTTTAGACATTTTCTTGGCTTTCTAACAAAAACTACTAGTATCAACATTTTCATGTAGTGAAGTGTATTCAGTTTGGTTAGTCTTTTTTAACATAAAAAATGAAACAACAAACAACTACTACAAAATTATGCAAAATCAGTAAAAATTTAATGGACTCCATACAAATACCTGCAATTCTTTCCTGTGATGAAGTCTAATAAACCAGCCCAAAACTTGTTCCATAGGTCTTTGATAATTCCAAATAAGCTTGCTGTCTCAGACTTTGGTGGCTGAAAGGGGGCTCCCTGTAGTATATTATGTCGCATCAGTTATAATCTGGACACAAACGGTCTATAATGTGTAAACGCGAGTGTGAGTACATAAAATTGGTATTCTGAAGTCATCCTCTTAAAGTGCAGTGTGGAAACTTTACCTGTGTTCCATTGTCAAGCACAGTGGCTGTGGTGGTGAACTGGCATTCAGCTCTATCGACTTCATTAAATTCCAAATCTTTTAAAATTGCTGCATTCAGGCAAACATTTATCTGAAATCATATGTACTACAAATCTAAATCAAAGCACATCAAAAACTTGAAAGCAAAGCCAATCAAAATCAGCAAAAAAAAAAATCTGTACCAGAACATGCATATTTTGAAGCATGATCAGAAGTTAGATAGATTTTGAATGAACGATTACCAACCTCTTCAGGCTTCATGATAAAAAATTGTTCCTGCAATCATATGTTTGTGAACATCAAATTCTGGAACCCAGAGTAGTCATGAAAATGTAAGATCAATAATCACAATGAAGATTTCGAATCAAGTACCTCCATCATTGTCACACCTTTTGAGCATTTAAACTGTATAAAATGTACAAAAATTAATTTACAAACTGTCTAATGAAGTATGAGAAACCAAAGAGGAAAATTTGGGAGCACAGATTATAGTATCATTGGCATACCGTCAAGCTGTATGATGCTTCCACTTTCCCAGTGTTCTTTGTTTTTATATCTGCAGTCCCATATTGCGCAAGTGCTTCAAATGTAGGGACAGTAACACCTAAAATCTTCCCAGGGCTCCTACAATTACATATGAAATAAACTTTAGAACATTGCAGTAGAAAATTATCATATCAGAATATAGCAGCATAAGACATCAGAACAAACTTTCAAATGTAGCAAGCATATTTAGTAAAAACATATACTAACCTCTGATAAACATATTCTATGTCATCAGCTGCCAATTTTATCACAAGATTAGTGTTGATAGCTTCAGAAATCCCAAAGGAAAACGTACGAGGCCCTGCACCCTGTATGCCTTTTCAGTTAATGACAGACAATATTTTTATAGGTGAATAATGTAATGCAAAATCTGTAAACTTAACTGGGTGCTCATTTATCCTTTCAAACCTTCCTACCACACCATACAAAGGTGGTTGATGCCTAGCAATTCGATTCTGGTCAGCCTGTGAAACAATTAGTCAAAACGCTTTCAGTCCCACCAGACAATTTGAGTTAAAATATGCCAAAATATAGATAGAGGAGCACAAAATGGAAAAAAAATAAATAAAAAAAACAAAACAGCTTTATGCAAACATAGTGCCTATATTAACTCAATCAAATCGGAAAAACTCGGGAATAAAGGACATAAGATGAAAAAACAGTATTACAGTTAATTCTATTTTTCAGCTATAGATACTAACTTCATAAAAATTCCACAGCTGGTTGTGCAAACAGCTCCAGTACGGGGAGGTGCAGAAATCTGGTTGACCGTTAAAAGCCTCATAACCGACTCCAATTTTATTGCATTCAAGGCCATCCAATGTGAATCTCACTCTCTCAAGTAGCATATACATAGAAAAATTACGTCCTAAGTCTGGAGGCTGGCCTGGTCCATGCTTCAGACACCACAAAAAATAAAAAAATAAGGTTGGCACTCTCAGTCAGTCCAAATTCATTGGCAGCATAGCCAAAACTAAGGTTGCACAATGGCAAGCAACATACCACCCTCGGTATCACTAGGTAGAATTCCTCAAATGATGGAATATTAGTGTAACCACCAAAATCGCCAACAAGATTCACTCTGAGAAAACGGTCACTGGACAAAGCTGTTCGGTTATCGGGACCAACGATCACTTCCTGAAGATGAGTCAAGAATCCAACATACAGGACATATGATTACCAATAAGGAGGAAAAAAAAATCAACACATTCACATAACACAAACTTGTTATGATGTGACTTACTGATACTTTAGATCCAGTCTTGACTTCAATCCGAACACTAAATCCTATAATTCTCTGTCCAATGCCAAATACATGGAACCTAAAAACATTAAAAAGTTCATCATGTTATCCAGATTATTGATTAGGCTCGAAAAAAAAAAAGAAAAGTACAACTAGATCACTCTTTTTAGCACATAAATCCAAGACTATAAGATTATAGAAAATAAAAAAACTTGATCTTGAAGCAATTCAGGCTCATCAGCAAGGAGTCAGTTGGCTTACCAATCACCAGGAAATCGTAGACAATGTGCAGTATTCGCTTTCCCCTTTACCAGTTTGTCAACTGATAAACAACACAAATAATAACCCAAAAATTTAGAGTCAACAACCCCTATGGACACGAATGCTGAATTTGTTTGATTAGTTTAGGAAGCTTACAGAAGTTTCCACATGAAGAAGGTACTCGTCGTCTATCACCACAAGGACAGCAAACCGGCTGGTGTTGGGCATTAAGATACAATTAAAACCAGGACAGTAATTTGATTACAAATTTTTAAAATTGTATATAAATTTACACATTGGAGTGTTCAAGATCAACAAATAACTATACTTGAGAGGCTTCAATAACGTGACCTTGATCATCCTTCAACCTATAAATCGAATGGCAAAAGGAAGGAGTCATCAAACTCACATAGACTAATCAGCTGCATTTTCATAAATTTACCTAAGGAAACAAATACATAAAAATATATATCTTCAAGCCACTACATAATCAAAGCTCGAATTATGGGATTAAGGGCAAACACCCCCAGAGTAAGTAGGAAGACAAAAGAGGGAGAGAAATTGCCTCTCACATATCTTAACAACATGAGCATCAGCATCCGGCTCACACTTTCGTGTCTTGACATAACACTCTTGGGTTTATATGGGACATCCTGAAAATTTAATGCTGAAACATGTCAATTACCATCAAATTTTTCAACAGGAAAACATAAGAAACAAACTTAACATTCCTAATTATACAAGAAAGTTACTTAAAGTTTCAACACAAGTAATGTTAGGCCATTGTAAACATAGACTACACTCCATGCCAAAACACACATCAACAATGACACGTGTTATTTCCTAACATCAAGATTACGACATTAACAATGTCATATCAATTTCCTTAAAACAAAACAAAGAAAAGTCAGATACTAGTTAGCCATACTCGTATATAAGTAAGATCAAACACGGCATAAGCAGCAGATTTGTTGACAGTAATCACAGGGGGCAATCGCAAAGTCTGCATCTTATTCGTCGAGTTTTCCTCCACCTCTGCAACCTCTGCCACCATTGACGCTTCTCCTCCACTCTAAAAAACCATTATTATGTTTTAACAAGACCTATAATATCAACAAGTAAATGTAGGAAATAAAACACGACAACAAGTCAACAACTGAAACAACCAACTTACAGAGTTGCTAGGAACAGCCATGTTAATGATGATCTTGCGAGTACAATTAAGATTACCATAATCATTAGAACCATTTGCTTCTGTAGGAGAAGTCTTTTCACATTTTTCGAGTTTCGATTTCGAAAGTATCTGAATTGCCTCTCCATATACAAATCCATATCCAAATCTTCCTCCATCACCGATTATTTACAAAAAGTGGGAGGATATTTAACAAAAGCAACGTTAACAACATAACCTTACAAACCCTTTGCATTGTTATACCATATACCAAAATTTTCCAAAACTTAAGTAGATTTTCAAGTGTTTTTAATATACATTCAGTTTCTCCTGCAATTTTGAACAAAATCAAGGTAATTAGTATAAGAAATCATCTGCAAAACAATTAAAATAAGCAATATAGTAATGAAATTTAGTATTAAGCAATAAACAAAATCATGAACTAAACAAGCACAATCAATGAATTAAAAAAAAGAAAAGAAAGTAAAACTTAAGTGTTAGTAATTCTGAAGAAAACATACATTGGTGAATGATGGGAGGGAAGGAAGGAGATGGAAATAACTAACTACCAATTTATTTATTAATTAACTACTTCATTTTTTTTTTTGGAAAAAGAAAGTGCAATGGTTTTTTTTACAAAATACTTATGTACCCATGTTAATACACAGGATATATCCTAATATGGAAGTTAATCGTAGTAGACAAAGATATAGGGGGGATTATTTGGTGTGAAATACCTGAAAATACCTAAAACCTCACTTTGACACAACAATCCAGACACTATTTTGCGGTTTTAGGCACGTGACTTTATACTTATGGGCCGATTTTTTATCCACCGAAAATGGATAAATAACTCATTTGGTAAAACCTATACCTTAAATCCTATAAATTAGGGTTCAATTTTAATTACCCAAAGTTTGATTTTAATCACCCAAAAGTTCAATTTACAACTAATCTAATACATTCAGATGAGTTTAGATCATCACTTCAATTAAACAAGTTCACTTTAGTAAAAAAAAATTACTCCATACAAAAGTACGACTTTCAATCCAATCCGATACATGGTTTTAATATTTTTTTATCTAATCTAATTCCAACAATGTAGTAATCGGTGGCGTCTACAGAATTTCCGAAGTGTGGGTTCGAAACTTCGGAAGTTCGGAATCGTAATTAACAAAGGAATGAAAAAATTAAATATTCGGTACATAAGTTCAAATTGTGGATTACAGATAGATTACACATAAGAAAAATGAAAAATTCAACAATTCAAAAGCAAAAGCAAAAGCAACTCAAGGCAATTCAAGTATTCAACAAATTCAGCTGATGGAAAGATCGGCAACTCATATCATTTTTAAGATTCACAAGTCACCAAACACAGTAACATACTAGTTATCAAATTGATCGACGCTAAACAAAAAATTAAAAACCCCATATATTCTGACCTTATCAATACTTCAAAGGTTCATAATAAACAAGCAAATTGAACATATCATTTTACATTTTTACTTGGTATTTATTTTTTATAAAGCTGGTTACACACAGAGAACCAAACTACCCAAGGAAATTCTTCACTAGAAGAGATTTGATATACCACAAGCAACAAAACTCAAACATAATATAGTTCATAATTAGCCAAAGCCAAAAATTGAGCTCGACAGAGAATAGCAGAACTGAAAATTCAAGTACTTGATCATTCAACATTACATATAATAAAAGTAAAATTTTGATTGGAGAATTATAAAATAATTATCAAGCGTTCATAATTTACCTAATTAACGGTGAAGAAGATAGCCAAAGGTACCGGTCTGCCAGTCGTACCAACTACCACCATGAGTCCACAACGCACGACACCAGTTACTGCTACACATACATGATAAATGCAGAACGAATGAATGATAATAAATTCAATAATCAATATCAATTAAACAGAAAAATCAGAAATAAGAATCAATATCAATTAAAGAAATTATAGGGCTCAAATACTCAACTCAAATAGTCAAATATCCGGGCACAACTTCAGTTTCTAGAGGAAAAATCCCCAAATCGGCTAATCAAAACCAATCTTCAGTTTCTAATCGGCTAATCATATTAAAAAAAATCATTTGGGACTTATAATGAAGACAAAACTATAACAAAACACAGTCAAAACCAATCTTCAATTTCTAGAGGAAAAATCCCCAAATTGTAAAGTAAATTAGCAAAATGAAATTCACTGACCTCAGTGAAATTCAAGGACGTCGGACCGTCGGACTGTCGGTGTTGGAGCACCTGATGCCTGGCTTATGACGCGTCGCCTGAGGGACAGATGAACGGCGGCGACTGCCGGCTGGGGATTTAGGATTTGAAGGTTAGGATTTTACAATTTGGGGGAATGAGGAAGTGTACTGTTCTGTCTTGAGAATTGAGGAAGCAGTATAATGTAGAAACAAAAAAAAAAAAAAAAAACCGATTAATCCTCTTATTTTTCTCTTGAATCACCAAATCAACAAAACACATAATTCAAATCCTAGAAGGGATGTAAACCCCAAATTTCAAAAGCATTCATTCAATGATTCCCAGGAAATTTACAGCAAAATTAACATTAAAAGTACGCGAAATCATGTAACTCAAAATATAAAAATGAAAGAGACTTACATGGGCAATTGGGTACTCAAAATTATCATAGAAATCGTAATCAAAAGAGCAACCAGAATCAGCGAGAATGTTTGAGAGAAGAGGGAAAGCGACAATCAAAGGAAGAAGAAGTAAGTGTTGTTGAATGATGGGAGGGAAGGAAGGAGATGGTAATAACTGCCAATTTTTATTTTTTTTGAAAACAACTAACTGATAATTTATGTATTAATTACGGCTATTTCATGAAATGTACTAATTGCGAAATTCACCAAATGACATTCGACTTTTTAAAATTCACCAAATGCCACCGAGTTTTAACAAAATTCACCGAGTGCCATTATTGACTGACAACCATTAGTTGACCGTTAGTGGACCCCACCATTTACCACGTGCCACTTTCTGATTGCTCCATTTTTTAAAAAATAAAAAAAAAAACCAAAACAATATTAAAAAATTAAAAAAAAAAAAACAGAAACCATTGAACCACCCCAGCCACCACCCCGAAACCCTGCCCCTCCCCTTATATTGCCGAAAAAACGGCCGGCCACCTTCGTAACCAACAAAAATCGGCCGGCCGGCCCTTTAGCACCTTACCTGATCTACCGCCGACCCCCAAAACCCGGCCAGCCTCGACCCCAAAAACCGCCGCCGAGATCTCCTCCACCAATCTCGCACCATTCGCATCAATGGCCACAAACTCCTCCACCAATCTCGCACCAATCATGAAGTTGTTGGGGAAGGGGATGGGTTATGAGGTGCCGGAAATTGGAGAGGGAAAAGAAGGGGGTTGGGGTTTCGGGGTGGTGGAGGAAGGGGGGTGGGGTTTTGCGGGTTAGGGGGTAGGGGAGGGGAAGGGGAGGGGTCGCCAGAGGCCAGTGCGCCTTCCGGTGCTAGCCCCGGCGGCAGGGGTTGTGGTGGCTAGGGTTGTGGGGTGGCGGTCAGGGAGGAGGTGGTGGCTGCCACCTCTTAATTTCTTTTTTTCTTTTTTAATTTTTTTTATAATTTTTATTTTTTTTTTATAATTTTTTTTTACTATTTTTAAAAGTTTTTAATTTCTAGTTATTTTTTTAACAAATATATATATATATATATATATATATATATATATATATATATATAGTTTTAAAACGGACCGATCAGAAGGTGACACGTGACAAGTGGTGGGGTCAACTAACGGTCAACTAACGGACATTGACGGTCAACTAATGAAAATGACATTTGGTGAATTTTGTTAAAACTCGGTGGCATTTGGTGAATTTTGAAAAGTCGGATGACATTTGGTGAATTTTGCAATTGCTCAGTGACATTTCATGAAATAGCCATATTAATTAATTACTTCATTTTTTTTTGGAAAAAGAAAATGCAATGGTTTTTTTTTTTTACAAAATACTAATGTACCCATGTTAATACACCGGATATATCCTAATTATGGAAGTTAATCGTAGTAGAAGAAGATATAGGGGAAATTATTTGGTGTTAAATACTATACATGAAAAGACCTAAAACCTCACTTTGACACAACATTCCAGACACTATTTTGCAGTTTTAGGCACGTGATTTTATATTTAGACTCAGTAAGGGCCGATTTTTTATCCACCAAATGTGGATAAATAACTCATTTGGTAAAGCATATACCTTAAAATTCTATAAAAATAGGGCTTAATTTTAATTACCCAAAGTTTGATTTTAATCACCCAAAAGTTCAATTTACAACTAATCTAATACATTCAGACGAGTATAGATAATCACTTCAATTAAACAAGTTCATTTTAGTTAAAAAAATTACTCCATATAAAAATACGACTTTCAATCCAATCCATTGTATGGTTTTAATATTTTTTTTATCTGATCTAATTCCAACAGTGTAGTAATTACATACAGAGTAATAATTTACAAGTATAATAAGTTTAAGATTTTGGATCAATTTTAACTAAATTTAAATAGCAAAGATTAATAAGTGTACAAATAGATTCCTCAAATAAATCACTCATTACGTCATCATCATATTCATCAAATGTATAAATTAGAAAGCCGCCAAACATCTCAATTCATTTTTCTCCTCTCTTTCCCAATTAATTAAAATATTCTCAATTAAAGTGTTTTCGATCTCTTTTGTTTTTCTCCATTAAAATAAATTCCCACTTTTTTCTTTTTCATTTTTTTTCCTCTATTAATATCTACACTTCTCCTCATTTTTCTTCAATTCCAAAAAAAAAAAAAAAAAAAAAAACAATTGTCAGAGGAGAGAGAAACAGTGAACTATGTCGGCGATTTCCCGGCGATTTTCCGCCGGCGCCGGAATACCACCACCGGAATTACACCGATTTAACATGCAATTCCGACAACCTGTAACAACTCTCCGATTAACACGACATTCGACGACATCAAATGATATTCAATATCAACGGTTTGAATGCGTTCATCATCAAGTCAACGTCAACCGTTGGATTGAGATGAGATCGGACGGTGTAGAGGATAGATGGAAGAGGAAGAAGACGACGTCGTTTCGGTGTAGGGTTGGAGTTGGAGAAGTTGATGAGAAGGAAGAGAGAGATCGAGCGGTGAAGGTGATGGTTGCAGCTGGAGCTACGGTAGTACTGGGTGTAGCAAATCGGGTTTTGTATAAGTTGGCTTTGGTGCCTTTGAAACATTACCCCTTTTTCCTCGCTCAACTCGCCACTTTCGGGTACTTTTTCTGTCCTTTTTTAATTGCAGTGCTCGTGTTTTCACGTTATTTATCAATGTACTTTAGGGAATACTGTAAAAGAAGTTGATTTACTACATCATAAAAGTAGATAAGTAGATGTCGAGACGAATCTAAGGAAGTCGAGTATTTATCTGTTTATGTTTTGTTGTGATTAAAAATACTATCTCCATTAAATATTAGTTGCAACTTTGGAATTGTGAGATATAAAATGCTTCGTATTTCAGAGTTGCAACTAATAATTAATGGAGGTAGTAAGTTTGTATTTTCATGTCATCAGTGTAGAATTGTAGATTAGGGAGTATAAAATGAGAATAATGAAGTGTTTATTTAGTTTACGTTTTGTTGTGACTTAGTACCCATAATTTACGTTTTGTTGAAGTAATTGAAATTACAAATATGAAGTATAACGGTTTTGTATATGGCAAGACTACATAATATCATCCCATATAATAATTATTCATTAACAATTAACTTCGTCATACTAATATAAAGTAGAAAATATTTTACAGAGTAATTTTTATGCTAAATAATTTGTTATTTATGGTGATTTTTTACTTTATTTGATGATTTTTTTGCTCAAGTTTCTTAAGTTGTGCCTTGTGCGTGTCATATTTTTCAATGGGGTCATGGTAATATTCTTTATCTTGTAGTGGGGTAAAATAAAATGATGTTATGATTTTTATAGAAAAAGACCGAGAACATGAACTGTGGTGAAAAAGATAGTTCTCATCAATATATTAAGTGTTGGCTAAAATATGTTCAATTTAATAAAAGTAAGATGAAAATAAATACAACACCATAGTAAATGTCCTAAATGATATTCCATAATATGTTATATACTCTATTACGCCCCTCACAACATTGACTCCCCTCATACCCTGCACTTAATATTCCACTTTAGAAGAAGAGGTGGATGAGATTCGAACCCCTAACCTTTGTGTCACGCCAGGAATATGTTTTATATGCTATCAATAATAATGTATATTGTATTGCTTTTTGAACGTTTTGGCTTTTGGGAGTTCAATTCCTAACTTTGCAAAATTATTCATGATTTTATATGCAGTCCTCCGAAGAATTTTTATAGGGAGACCTTTTATTACACTGAACAGGCGAACATCGCTTGATTTGTCTTGAATTCCCAAAGACTTTGGAAATGTATTTAAATGCTGTGGAGTAATAATACATAGCCCTTCAAGCTGGAGCATAATGAAGTATGGGTAGATGTTTATTTTTACGAGAGCATAATGTATGTGTCTTATATGTGGCCATGTGGGGACTAGGGAGAGAGTGGGCATTGTTGATTCGTTATGACCTGTTAAGATTACTTTTACCAAAAGCAACAGTAGGAATTATTTAGAAAGTGGAAAGTGTAAGCTTTATAAAAACAAGTTAAAGTTGAAGTATAGCTCTAATGATTTCCAAGACCTTTGTCCATTGATAGAAACTAGAAAGGAATTTTTTTTTCTCCAATTTATGTATTTGACAATTTGATTGTGGAGGTTGCTGGTTGGTGTGGTTGATACTAATTTTAGAGTGATTCCGTATGTTTTTTGAAAGCATTTCTGGTAATAAGAAAATGACGGAGATAAGTGCTCGAGTGAGCGGCTCAAAATTAATTTGGGTGTGGTCCAAACAGGACTATGTGAAATCTTAACAACTTGGCAATGAAGGTTATTTCAATTTGTCAAAATGAGAATCAGTAAATGAAAGTTGCACAATGTGCATTATTAGCAATCAGCATCTAGATCCATTATACAAAGTATAATTCTTCTGCAGTTCTGCTTGCACACTGTTTGTAGTAACCTAACCTCCTACAATCTGCTATGTTTTTTTGGGCTTATTATTGTTAGGAACTTTATTTATTTTTTATCATATGGTCCTGCTGTCCACCATCTTTATGATATACGGAGTATGTTAATCTTATGAATTTTGTACCTGAATTTGATCTTTTAACTTGCAAAAAGTTCAAATAATGCCTGGCACCAAGAGAAATGCTTTCTTTGTATTTAGATTCCTTAAGAAGGGTGTGCAAGGTTAAATACAAATGATTTTACTAACAACTACTTAGCACGAATTGCTAATTCTAACTCAACTGTTACTCTGAACTCTTTTGCTTCCTCCCCTGGGCATTTGTTTAAGTTGATTACTATCTTCATAGGAGATTGAAATGAAAGTTAGCATTCTATGAGGGCTTTAAGATTGCTATATCTACTAGATTCTGCGCTTGTCAATTACTCAGGATAGTTTCCTGGATTTGGTAACCAATATAGTATGGTGCCTATTAAGGCCATGTTCTTTTCACTTGAAAACTTCTGAGCTTAACTGAATTAATTTGACCTCTGAATTTAACTGAACTTTGTTGCAAAGTGAACTTATTAGACTTCATCTAAGCTTATTAAATGTGAAAGTTTATTGTTGATTGGTTGTAGAACAGGGCATAAGTTTCTGTAGAGTTGGATGACTTGGATCTATAATGATATAGGCTGTTGCTGTGTTACCTTTATTTATACTTTAGCTGTGTTTCTTTATACAGATATGTATTTGTATATTTCTCTATCTTGTATCTTCGGCATCGTGCGGGCTTTGTCACTAAGGAGATGATGTCATTGCCTCAAGCTCCGTTTCTCGGAGTTGGGTTATTAGAGGCTCTAGCAGCGGTATCTGGAATGGCAGCGGCAAGTAAGGTTAATGTGTTGCTCTATTTGAATCATATTTTTGTTTTTCTGGAGTTGCATTAGAAGATCTTGAATGTTTAGGGTTTAATTTAATCTGATGAATTTCAAT